AGACAGAGCCTCAAGCTGTCACCCTGGGCAGAGTACTGTAGCATCACAGCTCACAGCAACCTCCAACTCTTGGGCTCAAGTGATTCTTCTGCCTCTGCCTCCCAAGTAGCTGGGACTACAGGTGCCTGCCACAACGCCCGGCTATTTTTTGGTTGCAGCTGTCACTGTTGTTTGGCGGGCCAGGCTGGATTCAAACCCGCCACCTTGGGTGTATGTGGCTGGCGCCTTAGCTACTTGAGCCACAGGCGCCGAGCCAAGTATTGCAATTTTAATAACAGTATTTTCCTCTTTACAATTTGTATTTTTTTTTGGCACGTATTACTGAAATTAACTGGATGGATCACATTAAATAATCTCCTATTTAATTAAATTATTTATTTTTGAGACAGAGTCTTATTTTGTCATCCTTGGTAGAGTACTGTTGGAGTCATAGCTCACAGCAACCTCTAACTCTTAGGCTCAAGCAATTCTCCTGCCTCAGCCTTCCAAGTAGTTGGGACTATAGGCACCCACCACAACACCCAGCTATTTTTAGACAGGGGGTCTTGCTTTTGCTCAGGCTTGTCTTGAACCTGTGAACTCAGGGAATCTACCCACCTTGGCTTCCCAGAGTGCTGGGATTATAGGCATGCGCCACTGTGCCAGCCCAATTTCTTATTTCAAATATATGTTCTTTGATTTTTCCAATATAACAAGTCACTACCATTTTTATACTGACTGATACATGCTTCATTTTTAGGGAAAAAAAAGAAGCCATTTGATATTTTATGTCTATAGCATGATAGTGTATGTCTAAAGACATCATGATTAAAAGTCACAGTCTGCTTATCTTTTAAAAAACAGTACTGCTAGCTTATTTAGTTTAGTTTATTTCTCAGAGCTGAACAGCTATGAGATATGAAATTCCAAGTGAGTTTGTCTTAAAAATAATCCATACGATCAAGACAATTATTATTTGCAGCCCTACACTTGCCAGAATTATGCCTTTCTCATTTGGCATCAAAAAAATTCAGTCTTTGATGAAAATTGAACACATACATATTTGCTACACATATCTAAGACTAGCCCATTTTAGTCTCTTACGACTTCTTACCCCTATTCATCAACATATCATCAGTCATTCCAAACATGCTGTGCAGGATGGCTCGAAAGGTGTTACAGTCTAGCCCGGTGTTGCCTTGTCTGCCACCAATTCCTCCCACCAAGCGGTGAAAAAGTCTTACGAGACACTCTATTTCACGTTTTTTGACTGTAAAACAAAAAGACAAATAAATACAAATTAATCATTCAAGCTAATTGATTATATTTTACTAAGCAGCTTACTTTGTTTCTATGATGTTCGGTGCCCTGATGACAGGGAAAAAATATGACTTGCTCTTTACACAGTGAAGGTGGGCCTCACTCAGAAGTCTCATAAGACTAGATATTACTGCGAAATTATGTCATGTAACACTCACTGCCATAGATCTGTGGAGCGAAATCAGTACGGGAAAAAGGACTTGGGCCTTTTCATGGGAGCACTTTGAACTGGGCCTTGAAGGGTGCGTAATATTTATACAGGGAGGAATATGTTGAGGGTGGTAAAGAAGTGAAGAATTCCAGGAAAAGGGGACAACACGAGTAAAGAGGTAGAATTAGGGCTGAGATTCAACATGCTTTACTGATAGCTCATTAGGAGTTGGGAAGAAGTAAACAATAAGGCTGAAAAGGATGGGCTGATGGTAGAGGGCCACGAATGCCGGGTTGAAGAACTAACCTTTATTTTAAGACAGGAGTATTTTTCATGGTGTCATTTTGTGGAACATCTGTGTGAGAATCAACTCCCTTTGTACTGCCCCATGTTTGTTAAATATTCAGATTCCCAAGATTTTTCCCCAGATCTGGTAAGTCAGAGTTGCTAACAATAGGCCTAGGAATTAATTAATTTATTTTTTTGAGACAGAGTTTCACTATGTCACCCTGGGTAGAGTGCTATGGTGTCACTGCTCACAGAAACTTCAAACTCTTGGGCTTAAGCGATTCTCTTGTCTCAGCCTCCCTTGTAGCTGGGACTACAGGTGCCTGCCACAACACCCAGCTATTTTTTTGTTGTTGTAGTTGTCATGGTTGTTTAGCAGGCCCGGGCAGGTTTGAACCTGCCAGCCTCGCTGTATGTGGCTGGTGCCCTAACCACGTAACCACGGACAACAGTGCTGAGCCAGGGAATTGGAATTTAAACAAGAGGCCAGTTCACTCTTCTATGCCCTGGGGGTTGGGAATCTTTGGGTTAAGCCATTGAAGATTTTAGAGTAGGGGACAATAAAAACAGTTTAAGGAAAATGATTTGGCAAAGCTGTATTGGAGGAAGGTGCAAGCATGGAAGCTGGGCTTGGAGGGTAGGGCATAGGCTAGCAAAGTGGAAATAAGGACAGAAACTGAGGAGGGAGCCTGAGATGCTGCAGAAAACCAGTAAGGCTTTATGTCTCTTCAGAGCTGCAGCTTTCAGACTAAAACTTTGTCCATTCACAGACCTAGCTCTCCAGACTAAGTAAAATGCTATTTTAACTAAATGCACAGGTGATTCTGATGCATTGTCATGACTAAGAACGAAGGGGTTAGACTTAGTAGGTTAAGGGTACTAGACTTATGCCTCTGGGTTCCACGTCTATTTCTTATCCAAAATAGCTGAGAGAACTGAGACAAGTCATACAGCTTTTTTTTTTCTTTTTTGAGACAAAGTCTCACTTTGTTGCCCTCAGTAGAGCACTGTGAGTCATAACTCACAGCAACCTGAAACTCTTGGGCTCAATTTACCCCCTTGCCTCAACCTCCCAAGAAGCTGGAACTACAGGTGTCTGCCAAATGTCTGGTTATTTTCAGTGGTGGGGTCTTGCTCTGGCTCAGGCTGGTCTTGAACCTGTGCGCTCAAGGCAATCCACCCGCCTCAGCCTCCCAGAGTGTTGGGATTACAGATGTGAGCCACCACTCCTGGCCCCACACAGCTTCTTCATACCTCAATGTCCTTGCCTATACTTAATGTTTTATCCTGAATGATCTCTGAGATTCCCTTAGTCTAAAAGTCTGAGTCAGAGATTACTCAAAAGAACTACAAGAGTTAGGTGGGTGGCACCTAACTCTGTGGCTCAGTGGGTAGGGCGCTGGCCCCATATACTGAGGATGGTGGGTTTGAACTCGGCCCCCCCAGCTAAAAAACAGCAACGACAACTGCAACCACAAAAAATAAAGTACTAGATTCTATTTAAAAAAAAAAAAGAGGAGCAAAATCTGGTTACTGTTTTTCCTTTGTTCTTCTTTTTGCTTCCTTCCTTTCCCCCTCCCTTTTCTTTTTCTCTTTTCAGTGGGGAAGGTGAGGAGAAAGAATGACTTTCGATATTGTATTTGAGATGACGTCAGGTTACCAAGTGAAATAGCACCAACACAGAAAATATGCTGCTGTGGTCTGAGGAGTGACTTGATTCCTGGGATAGTGATCAATATTCCGAAGAATAAATGATTATAAAGATTCTGTGAGGGTGTGGGCTGGTAGGTGTGGATTTTGAGAAAACTTTCCCCTGACAAAGATTAGAATAGAAAGAAGAAAAAGTTTACTTTACTCTCAGATGGAAAAGGGCCAACACAGAAGCGAGAAAGGTAGGAGAGTGCTGGCAGAGTCAGGTACTTGGGCTTTTATTTTGGAGTTGTAAATGGGGTGAAGATTTAGGGCTGTGGCCGAATTAACAGGGCACAGTAAACTGTTGCTGCCTTATCACTCCTCTTAGCCTAGCAGATGGGCTTATCACCATGTGACTGTGATCGCCTCAGCACTCTGATCTAGAGATACAATTTGGGGAAGAAATTGAGAGACCTGTAGCTTGCGCCCTCCGTTGGCCATTCAGGAACTCTTCAAGGCTGTAAAAACGAAGTTCTAAAAGGCGGGTTTTAGTCTACAGCTCTAAAAATTTACATTTCCCTTAGCTCTTTTCTTATGTCATGGAAGAGTCCTCTCAGGGTACCCGTCAGCACGAGAGGGAGACATGGAGAGCTCATGTGACTGATCTTAGCCTTTGCTGAGAAACTGAGTTAGATAATTTTCTGTAATTGGTATTTTTTGGATATTTTAGCAAGGCCATCCTTTCAGTTGCCTAATACTATTTTATGAACTGAATTCGATTTTTGTGATTTCCTGCTTAATATAGTATCACATTGTAACTATGAAGTCCAAAAATAAAATGTAAAGGTCATTTTTATTTAACCAGAAAGCATCAAGAGCCTCCCAAGAACCAGGTAATGAATACACCATGGTTCCTGTCCTCAAGGGAGTTACTTGGTCAAGAGATAATGAAAAGGCTCAGCGCCTGTGGCTCAAGTGGCTAAGGCGCCAGCCACATACACCTAAGGTGGTGGGTTCGAATCCAGCCCTGGGCCCGCCAAACAACAATGATGGCTGCAACCTAGCCAGGCGTTGTGGCGGGCGCCTGTGGTCCCAGCAACTTGGGAGGCGGAGGCAGGAGACTCGCTTGAGCCCAGGAGTTGGAGGTTGCTGTGAGCTGTGATGCCACAGCATTCTACCCAGGGGGACAGCTTGAGGCTCTGTCTCAAAAAAAAAAGAGAGAGATAATGAAAAGCAGTGCAATAAAGTAATACATGAGCACAATTTCTGGTGTTTGTTTGTGACCCAAAGGAAGAAATCAATTTGGGGGATGCAGAAAGAGATTAAAAAGGGCTCCAAAGAAGAGGTATCACTTAAGCTAAGGCTTACTGAAGGAGCTGGCAATTTACCAGAGGCAGCCTGGAGGCCGGTAGGCAGGTTCTGAGGTGAAGGTGGTTTGGTGTGGCTAGCTGGCTGACTTGTGCAATTCTACTGAAAAAATTTTAGCTAGCAAGTTATTGTAGTTGCACTGAAGGAAAACCATCTTGGCAGAAGATTATTGAAACTACTTTATGAATGGGAAATCCTAATGTGGCAGCTTATGTTCCTAAGATGATCCTAAAACTAGGGGGATTTTTCTAACTGTTTTAACAGAGTACAGTGGAAGTGAGGCTCTGTGACTTTCAAAACTAGATCATACAAAGGATGCAGCTGCTCTAAGGACCCAAACTAGGCAAGATTTCTTTTCTTGCTTGGAATATGAAGAATAAGAGGAAGCTCAGGTGTGGGTGGATGCATTGTATGGAGTATACACATGGTATATTAACGTTTGCCTGAAAGTAAGCCTCTTCAACTCTGGAAGAATGTTACCATCTGAGTAGAAATGCTAGCACCAGCAGTGGTGTGAAAACGCAAGAGTAAGCCATTTGCTCTGGGAGTCAAGTAACGTGAAGTTGTCCAATAAAGCAGTCAAGGACTTAAGATACACTCTTCAGCGGGCAATAATCAAACTTGTTCCTCATTTTATCAATGTAGCTCACATTTCATTATACCTAAAGACCTTGTGCATGTGGTTAAGAAACCAATGTTAAAGATATTTGAGAAATCATGTGTGATTAACATGGATGGTTTGAGATACTGGAGATTGGCCTATGCTTTAGTTTGGAATAATTTTAAATGCTAATTTTGATAATTTAATAACATTTGGTTTAAACAACATTTTAGAGTAACTTTAGATTTAGATAAGAGATGCAAAGACAGTACAAAGAGATCCTATATCCTCTTCACTCAGTTTCTCCCTGAAGTTAACATCTTACATAACCATGGTACTTTTGTCAAAGCTGACACATTAACAGTTAGTAGTAGGTCGCTACTAACAATAGATCCTAATTGCACTTCAGTAGTTTCTCCACTAATGTCTTTCTGGTTCCAGGGAAGGAAGATTTTTTCCCCTTTTCCATTTATTCAATTATTTATACCAGTATAAAGTCATATATATACTGGGGTCTTTGGGCATAGTTAGGTCTAGGACCCTTATAAAAACAAGACCTCAGAGTTAGTCTCTTCTACTGTGAGGACACAGCAAGGTACACCAGCTGTAAGACAAAAAGTGGGCTGTCATCAGACGTTGAATTTGCCTTGACCTTGGACTTCCCAGCACCCAGAACTGTGAGAAATAAATTTCTGTTGTTCATAACCATCAGCCTATTCTGTTACAGCAGCCTGAATGGACTAAGACAATGCCAGTACTGTTATTTAGTTGCTCAAAATATTTGAGCTCTGGCTACTGGGAATATTTGGTTGGCTCCTGTAATATTTTTTCTTTTTTTTAAGAGACAGAGTCTCACTTTGTCACCTTGGTAGAGTGCTGTGGCAACACAGCTTACAGCAACCTCCAGCTCCTGGGTTTAGCTGATTCTCTTGCCTCAGCCTCCCAAGTAGCGGCTTGTTGCGGTTGTCATTGTTTAGCAGGCTTGGGCTGGATTCAAGCCCTAGCTGCTGAGCTACAGGCAGCTTCTTTTTATCTTTTTACTTTCCAAACTTCTTTGCTTTATGGTGCTACAAGTG